ATAGTACAGATTGTTATTTTATTTTAAGGAATTCATTAACAGTAAGAAAGATACATATATATAAAAGGCCTCAATAGAATCTGGTGAAGATCATATTTTGCCATAGAATAACGTATAAATCTGCTCATCTTTGTACAAATTCAATGGGTGAAGTCATTACTTGATGAAATAAGGTGGGACATGTGTTGACAAAAAAAAAATACCGGAGTATGAGGTACACATATATTCATAGCACCATGCTGTCTATATGTATACTAATTTACCTATTCATTTATAACCCACCATAAGGGAGGAAATTCAAATAAGGATTGCCAACTGCCAATTATAGAAGCCGGATGTAAGAATATGCACTATATACAAAAATCCTTCTATACGTATATATTAGTGCACAGCATTAATTCATGTTTACTAAAAATTGCTCCACATACCGAAGGATCGGAAGGAACCCGTTGGAGCTTGCAAAGTTAGCGCAATTTATAAAACATATATGGGTTATATAAAATACGTAAATATTAGAAGAAAATTAACTAATTTTATAAATTACAAATAATAAACAAATGGGGAATAAATGAATCAATGTGCAGACAAATTACTATCCATAAAACGAAGACTTCCACGCGATGCCCTGTGAGTTCATAGAAATCACATCACACATGAACACACTTATGGGGCATAAGTCCCTTAAAATGACTTTGGCTTACGCATTTTGTATTCTCTTTCAACCATGAAACGTTTAAAACGTCTTCTGTTTTTATCAATGAAATCCAGGTGGCCCCTATTATCCAGATACAGAAATATTTGGAAAATAACCTCAACAATGATGAGAATGGCAACTGTCATTGCTATCTCCAATCCGAATTGAATCCATGTGTTTGACATTCCAATTGAGGCACCTACAGCGGCGCCATGATCTGCTCCTTCAGCCATGGCCTTTACAGTTTTTTCCGCGGCGCGGATTGCACAAGAGGTATCATTTTTCTCGGGCGCCGACTTAGGCGAGTGGGACAACCAGCTTATCATAGATGAAACTACTGTGTCTACTACGCAGGATGTGGCATCTATGGCGACTCCCGGGATATGCCCTGCCGCTTTCCTTAAACCCGCTTTTGCCGCTATTAATTCAGTCTCCAGAAGAGCACTGGCACCGCTTATCTTCAGATATTCCATCACAAGGAATGGTAAGACGACCATTGCCAGTATTCCTGGAATACCATATTTGGTCACCTTCTTCATAGTTTCCTTAATATTGGATTTGGTAGTCTTTTCCTGTAGCCCCATGACATTTTTCATAAGAGATTCTTCTGTTGCTTCCATATTGGGTCTCACCATTTTTTTTGTTGGTTCTAAGACACTTCTGATAAGAGCTTCCTCTGTCTCTTTATATACTGAATCAACGGCTGTTACATCAAGCTTATTCATTGTCTGCACATCTTCTAGTAATTCAATCTTTATTTCGCCATCCTTAATATGTTTATATATAAGCCAATCATTTTTATTCTTATCTGGATCTTTATCTTTCTCTTTTCCATGCAAGTATATATATATGGTGTGCTTCCTTTCCTGTGGTAATATCTTTTCCTTTACAGATTCCCTTGCTTCTTTTTTTTCTTTTCTTTTCAATAATTCTTCTATATTCTCTAAATCCCCTTCTCCCTGATGGTGAATTTTCTTAAATAGACTATTTTGGCACGTTAAATATAAGTTCTTCCCATATTCATCAACTATCGCTGACGCATCTTCATCGAGGGTGAACCCATGGCACTTTATGTCACTAATTCTTTCAAATAAGCTATTGTCCTCTGTTATATACATACCGTTGTCATTGTCATATTCTGCTTCAATTCTATAGCTGGTCAGTAAACCGCATTCATCTATGTACTGCATCTTTCTATATAGACTCTTAGAGCACGTTACATATATTTTGTTAATTAGATGCTTCTTTTCCATCAATTCGTCCCTTCTCAGTAGATCATTTAAATTTTCTGATATATCTTCTGCAAACAATTTCTGTTCGCTTAATTTGTCACTCTTCTTTAGAGAACTATCTTCTACTTCCAATCTTGGCTGGCTGAACCTCTGAAATCCTCCACTAAAGTTGGCTCTGATCTCCAATGTCCGCTGATAAAACGTGTTTTGCTTCTTACG